TCATGCGGCGGAACGATGGCAAGACCGAGTGGTACAAAGTGCGTGGAGCGCCGAGCCCGTGGAAGCTTGGATGCACGACAACACCGCGGTGGAGGTGGAGTTTGACATCCCCGAGACCGTGCGTGGACGCAAAGGCATGTGCCAGAACCTGGAGGCGTTCTTCGTGGGCGCCATGAAGCGCAAGGCCGTCGAAGTGTGTGAGCGGAAGCTCACCTCCGAAGAACGGGAACAGTTCCGGGCCGCGAAGGCTGTGGAGGTCAAGAACTTCATTGCGGCAGAAGCATTTAAGAGCCTTCCAGCACACCTGCAACCGTCTGCCGACCAGGCGGTGGGAATGCGTTGGATATTGACTTGGAAAGTCAAAGAGGACGGCACGAGGAAAGCAAAAGCACGTGCCGTGCTTTTAGGGTATCAGGACCCTGCATATGAACACCGCGCTACAACGTCACCAGTGATGACTCGCCAGACACGCCAGATGTTTTTACAGTACGCTGCCTGGAAGAAGTGGCTCATCCAAAAGGGGGACGTGTCGGGAGCGTTCTCGCAAGGCCGGGAATACCCGGATAAGCTCCACTGTGTGCCGTGCCCGGAAATTCTCGAGGCCATGAACTTGCCACCTGGATCTGTGACCCAGTTGATGAGGGCTTGTTACGGTTTAGTTGATGCCCCTTTAGAGTGGTATAAGTCGGTTGATACTTTTTTTAAGGGACTCGGGTTGGTGAGATCATGGTCGGATCCCTGTGTCTGGTACTGGAGAGTGGATGGTGTTCTTCGGGGCGCCATCTGTGGGCACGTTGACGACTTCCTGTTCATGGGCGACGCCAAGGATGAGCAGTGGAACGTGGTCTTGAAGGCCATCCAGGAGAAGTTCAAGTGGGGTGACTGGGAGAAGGATAGCTTCACCCAGTGTGGAGTGCGAATCAGAGCCACATCGGACGGCTATGAGCTGTCCCAGCCCGGCTACGCCAAGGACATCAAGGAAATACCGCTGAGCGCTACACGACGACGAGAGGATGAGAAACCCATCTCAGAGTGGGAGCGGACGCAACTGAGGATGCTGCTGGGCGGATTGTCATGGACGGCTCAACAGGTGGCTCCACACCTGTCGGCGGAAGTATCATTGCTTCTGTCGGAGACCAGTGAGGGTACGGTCGCGACGATCAAGAAGGCCAACCAGCTATTGCATCAAGCACAACTTCGTCATGAGCATGCCATGAAGATTCATGCGTTTCCCCAACATGTGGATCTAGCTATCTACGCCTGGGTAGACGCAGCAAGCCAGAACCGAGTGAAGGGAGGCAGCACGCAAGGCATCTTTGTGGGCATTGCTCCTAAAAGCCTCGCCCAGGGCGAGGTAACCGAAGTTTCGCCACTGGTGTGGCAGTCGAGTAAAATCGATAGAGCCTGCCGTTCCGGCAGAAGTCCAGGCCGCCACCAATGGAGACGACACGTTGTACTACGCGCGCTACCAGTGGTCAGAGATGCTCTATGGCGAGGTCAACGTGCGAGCCCCGGAGGAGACCGTGGTAAAGACCGACGGCTACCTCATCACAGATTCCCGGAACGTATACGATAAACTCAATACGGAGGTCCTCGTGATCAAGGGAGCAGAGAAGCGAGCAAACATCGAACTTCTTAGCATAAAAGATTCTCAGCAGTCTACAAAGCTGGAAATTCGATGGGTACATTCGGAAGCACAACTGGCGAACGGCCTTACCAAGGCCGGGACTTCACGG